CATGCAGATGGAGACAGTTAGGAAGAACAAGCAGGGGATGCTTGAGGAGAAATACTGAACCAGTGTGGAGCTACAGTGGTGACAGAATCCATTTGGTAGCTGCTTGGTGTTGTGGTGTTTGGTGAGCAGATGGTCCGGGCTCGAGGAGGGGCGTGTCTTGTCCTCGCGACCCTTCACAAATCACAAGTTCCCCCCTGAGGGGCTCGCGACTCGCCGTTCAATAGGAATCAATGGGAATTACTTCACCAGAGAAAGAGATGAATGGGCGGCGGGGCGCGAGACCTCTTCCTTTGTTGTTTCTCTGCACGTCACGGAGCGCTCGTGGTCGCGCACGCGCAGTCACGCGTACGCGCACAGACAACAGGAAAGCGCGTCAATTAAACAATCGACCTCCAGTTAAACAATTTTTACCCCCTCCTCGTGCACATGCGCGTCCACCTCGTACAAAAACAGGATCAGAGGGGAGGAGTTCCTGCTGGTTTCTCAGGAGTTCGAGGATCTCCAGACATAAATTATGTTTTGGGACAAAAAATATGGTGTTGATGTTGCTGAACAGGGGAACAAGGGGAGGGACCACTTTCTTCCTCTCATGCATTTCAGTCACGCTTTGCTGGCATAATCGGAAAATGTGCGCCACGTCATGGTGATGAGTGACTGAAAGTATATTGGCCAGGGAGAAAAGGAGCACCAGGGACCTCTGAAAGTCGGGATGAGTCCAAATAAAAGGCCTCAAGAGAGGGATTTTACGCCACGCCACATGGGAGCGTTGCTGATTATTGACAAGGGCGCTGAAATCAACAGGTTAAATGAAATGACGGGCTTGGAGTACAGCGTCCTGTATCTGGATCAACTGTGGCAGGCAGGGATAATAGCGTTAAAGCTTAAGGTTAAAGGCCTTTCAAGGAGTGTAAACAGCACTTCACGGACCCTGGAGGAGTCCCCAGCCACATTTGATATCCACACAGCGGCTCAGAGGAGAATAACCCAGCAGGGTCATGAAGCTGATGCAGTTACAGCTCTGCAGCTCCCACTGAAAATCACCAACACTGTATGTGTTGACATGGCACACTGACCGTTGTCCATATGCTGCTGGTGGTTTCTGAATGAAAGCCTTGTTTGTGGGCAGCAGCAGCCAAAAAACAGTGATGCTATGCTGAGGGGGAGCAGCTTCAATTGGAGATGTTAATTAAGAGCCCCCCCCCCTCCTCCTCCCCCTTCCCATGTGTGTGTGCTGGTATGCATAAACATTAGAAGTGGCAAAGTCCTCTGATGCCGTGCACTTGTTCTTCAGTGGGATCTACTGCTGTGCCAACACGTTAATAAATAAATAATTTGGGGAGGAGGGCCTCCCTGAATCTCTGCTGTATAATGTGAAGGCTGCAGTTGATTGACAGGTGTGGCACCAAAACACCAATTAATGTTTCTGGCCAATCAGCAACTTGGAGCCTTTAATTTCCGATTTTTTAATTTTATTTCTATTTTCTTAAGGAACATCCAGTCCACATATTTACACATTAGAAAAGATGTGTATTAAAAAACTCTGAATGTATAAAGTTTGTTTCATGATCACTCTTTCCATATCACGGGATTAGGGCATCTCAGCTTCACAGCTGGAGATAATTTCTTAGCAACATGTGTACATTCTTGTGCGCTCTTTTTCCAGGATTTTAATCCCGCATGCAATTAAGACGTGAGTTTATTTGATTTTATGCTACAGGGCAAAGAAGAGTTTTAAACATTTTTCCATGCGCTGATAGAAAGTGAGAAGAGTTTTGAAAAACAAAGTAAATTTTCACCATTTAAAAACAAGATAAGAATAAGATAAGAATACTGTTTATGCAACCGACCTGCTATCTGTTTGTTTGAGAGAGAGAGAGAGAGAGAGAGAGAGATACTCTGGTGTTGTATTATTATGGGAGAGCAGGTGCTGCCGACCCAATTACCATACAGCTGAAAGCACAAAGAGAAAAAAAGTTTACTCCCTCTACGAGTCCCCTCCTCCTCTTCATCCTCACCCCCTCCCTCTCCTCAAGTCTCTTAATGACAGCCACGCGAGTGACACGCCACCGAGTCTTTTTTTATTTATTTATTACTGCCTCAATCGCAGAACAAGTTACAAGGGAAGACACGTAGTGGAAACCGCGTTCCTGTGGTCCTTGGTGCGTAAAGGTGCGTTTTACGCACACATTAAAACGAAACTGTAGGACTTGTCCCTCCAACATACTGAGTCACATTTCTATATAGTCAGCTGGGAAGCTTCAAATTCACTGTAAAAGAAATAACACCCCTTGGGAGAAATAAGAAGAAAACTATAGTTTAATCGTGTTTGGATCTTTGGAAACAGCATACTCACGCAGAAATGATCATGTCATGAAATGACTGCGCACATTGAGCTTTTGGAAGCAGGTCTGAAGGTCAAGGAATAAAGATAAGGGATAACCTGAACAGATCGACTCGTTTCGGGGGTGTAAACATAAAAAAAACGCGGTAAGGGTAACACCATAGGAATGCAACTGAGCAGATGGTCGTTGGTGGAGTTTGGACGGCCGGCTGGCCACGCAGGGAGCGGGTCAGCCCAGATTCACCATGATAACCTCAGATATGAGAATCCACCGTCAGACGAGCTGCTGCGCATAAATCTCCGAGCAGAGTTGAGGACTTCGTGCAGAGGTTAAAGAATTTGTCGGAATGTAAATGGGCCCCGCGTGTTGCGGAGGAGGGAGGCATCAGGGGACGCAAAGGGGCTGTTGCACATTTAACAGCTCACCAACCATTTGGTCCCATTGAGAGAGAGAGAAAATCAGAAGAGGGGGGGGGGGGGGGAGGGTTCAGAAAATGTTAAGCCCCCCCCCCCCCCCTCCCTGCTCCCATTTCTTTGTGATGGCCCCGGGGCGGACTTGTGGTGGCGGTGGAGGGAGGGGAAGAAGAGGAGCAGAGGGGGGCTCATTTGCATCTTATTACCCTTCGCCTGCTGGCCTCGTATAAAACCCTGCGCAGGGCAGAAAGCCTAACAGACTAACGCAGTGACACGCCAAGAGAATCAAAGAGGAACGGGGACTGTTTTTTAAAATCTCTTGTGTATATAAGACCATTTTAGCTTATCACAGTACATCACCTGGAAAAACAAACAAGACTTGTCTGTACGACTGGTTGGATTTACTGATTGGATTTCATTCTCGCTTCTTCAAAGGGGATCATTCCGCTGGATATTGCTTTATGCAAAAACATTATTTTGTTTGTCAACCCCCCACGGTTTTAGTGGGGAGTTAAAGGAGCAGGTGACAAACGCACCGCTGGGAAACTTTCACTTCACCTTCACCTTTGCGCGTCAAACCCTGACTGCGACTGAAGGACTTTCCAAACTTTCTCCATGATTATTTGAGGACGTGTGGAGCTCTCACTGCTTGTTGAGGAGCTGTCAACACAATGGGACGCCCGTGTCTGCTCTTGGTTGTCATTCTGTCTTTACTCACCTGCCAGGTATGGTCCAGTCAATTTTAGGAACCTTTTGCGCACACGTTTTTCTGGATAGGGCATTGTAATTATAAGCTCATTATTATTTTATTTATAAGAACAGATTCCAACACACTAAACTGATGTGTGCCCTAATAGGTTTTGTGCTCTGGCGTGTTTGAGCTGAAGCTGCAGGAGTTTCTCAACAAGAAGGGGATAGAGGGGAACGCCAACTGTTGCCCAGGAGGCTCTGCGCATCCACAGGGTCACCAGCAGTGCGAGTGTAAAACCTTCTTTCGGATCTGCCTGAAACATTACCAGGCCAGCGTCTCCCCCGAACCCCCCTGCACCTACGGCGGGGCTGTGACTCCAGTCCTCGGCTCCAACTCCTTCCAGGTGCCGGAGACCAACGCGGACAGTTTCACCAACCCGATCCGCTTTTCTTTCAGCTTCACGTGGCCAGTAAGTAACTGGCATGCGAAATGTTACTTTTCAGATCGTGCTTAATGGTAAATCTTCCTGCAGGATTAGTTGAAAAAACATTTCACTTCAATCTGACAAGAAGGATTTTTTTTCCCCCCTTCTGCAATATTTGTGCCATACATAATCATCCATGGACAGATATGGTGAAATTATTACTATTCCAGTGGGACGTGTTTACTTTGAAGAGTACAAAACCCAACAGATGCTCCAAAACCCAACACTTGTGAGGGTCTTTGTCAGCAGTGTGTGAGAGGGTCTATTGTAGTGTTTCAGTGCTCTTTGGTGGGATACAACAGGGAGGGGAGGAGGGTGTATGTGTGTGAAAGAGAAAGGGAGGGGGGCATCACCAAAAGCTGTGTCCCCTCCGACCATCCGTGGTGGGAAATATAACATCCTTTGAGTTGGCACATCATTGGCAGCGCTGCGTGAAATTCCGCCCTGTTTTTGTTTTACGGCGGTGTCAGAGTGTGATAGTAGCATGAGAATGAAAATGGAGCAGGTAGCCTTATTAGGCCTCTAATCAACACCAGAATTAGGCTGTGAAGTTTATTGCTAGGCCTCCTAATGGCCCTCTGCAGAGGGAGAAGGAGGGGGGTAGACCTCCAAGCTGAGCAGCTGTTGACTCTCTCCATCTCTCCTCAGGGGACGTTTTCACTGATCATTGAAGCTCTGCACACCGACTCCCTGGACGACCTGACAACAGGTGGGTGACAGCAGAAGAAGGCAGCAGTGTAACCTGAAGATGGTTTGAGTTGATTCCAGGGGCATGTTTTTCTTTAACAGCTCAGCCAGCAAGAGTAATAAGGACACACTCGTTTTGATTTATGAGCTACACTTTCTCATTTGTATTTGACTCACTAAAGGCTACATATTTACTAGTTTTCTACATTTAAATCTTCCTTTTAATAAAGGTCAGAAGTTACGGTAATTCCTGTGTAGGATAAACGAGTGTCTGTTATGCCCGAGCTATCAAGTTGAACTTTATGTGGTCGCTGCGGCCCAGTGATGAGATTTTCTGTTATCAAACTGCCCCTTCACCACTAACTTCAACACAAGTTAAAGTGTGTGTGGGAATTAGATGCAGAAATAGTCTGATAAATAGATGTAGATGGCCTCCATGATCAGGTCCCACAGAAGCCTAATTTTAATTCACATAGAATCACTCTTATTTTGCCATGTGCGGCTGCTTCTGTCATGAGCAAACTGGTGATTTGTGGTAGAAACACTACGTGTTCCAACAATAACAGTGGCAACAAATGACCCATAACAAACTGTGATTTCCTTGTACAGACAACCCGGAGCGTTTGATCAGCAGGATTACAACTCAGCGTCATCTCACTGTGGGAGAAGAATGGACCAAGGACATGCAAACAGCTGGCAGGACAGAGCTACGATTCTCTTACCGCTTCCTATGTGATGAGCACTATTATGGAGACGGATGCTCCGTCTTCTGTCGACCCAGAGATGATGCGTTTGGACATTTCACCTGTGGAGAGCGTGGAGAGATCATATGCAACTCTGGCTGGAAGGGGCAGTACTGCACTGAGCGTGAGTGGATTTGCTCATTAATTATGTGTCTGTGTGAAACAACTGAAGAAAAGTCATAGAAGGACGATAAAAGGAAGGGATGCTGTTGTACTTCTGGTGACAGCTTCATCATTGAAAAAGAGATGGAAAGACCTGCTCATTAGTAGTAGAGGCTGATGTTACAAAAAAAAAACAATAATCTCAAAATACTCATTACCCTAACCCAAGATGGAGTAACTGCCATCTTTAGAAAATTGTTATGTAATTGTCAAAACTACAGACATGGGGAGTTTTTGGTCTCTACTCAGTTCATACAGCTGCTTTTCAAAGTTAATTTCCTCTACAGTCATTTGCCTCTCTTTATTGTTAAAGACTTTTTCCACCTCATAATGCGAGGCCCGTGTGCAACAGGCGTCAGTTAGTTATCCCATAGCACCAGAGGCCTCCATTCTAATGAGCTGCAGTGGCTCCTCAGTAATTCACACGCCGCGTGCCTTCCATTAGACCGCTGGGGCCTCCTCGCCCCAAACCTCCTCCCCGATTGGCCAAGTGGGGGTCCCATATTGTTGTGGCTCAGGCTGGTGATTGGTCGAGCAGGGTTGTGCATTGTTGTGGAGGGGGCAGCTGCTCAGTGAGAGGAGACAATGGAGCAGCTGTCTGGTGGTTAGCTCCTCACAGACCAGCTGGCCCTGGGGGGAGGTGGAGGAGGGGAATATGGAGAGACAGGAGGAGAGGAGGAGGAAGGGGAGAGAAGGGGAAGATGAAGATGAAGAGATTGAGAGAAGGGGATGGAGCACCCAAGTAAGGGAGGCAAGTGGTAAGAAAAAGGACTTTTGACCCACAGTCAAATGGAAAAATGAGGCTTTGTGTTGTAAAGCAACCATGGTAAAAGAGATTGGTGTTTGGATGAGTCTTCTGTTTGGTGACCAAAACTGCCAAAGTCTGACTTTTTAAGCTGAAATGCAACATTTGTAGCATTGAGGAAACAAGCTTTCAGATGGCCAAGAATAATCTGATAACACTCATTATTTTGGACAGACAAAAAGTAAATATATAGAAAAGGAAAGAGTGGACAGGAAGTCCTTCAGACGCACATAAAAGACACAAATATTTGAGAGTGCATACAGCAGTTTAAAAGTCTATGAAAGGGAAATGGTGGACTGCAAACCTTATGAATATTCTATGCTTTTTCTAAAGTTTGTTTGTTTCTTCACAGCAATCTGCCTTCCTGGATGTGATGAAGAGCACGGCTTCTGTGATAAACCAGGAGAGTGCAAGTAAGTCCAAAGAGGTTACTTTGATGGGTCTTTCGGTTCCATAAATAAATGCAACTCAGTCTTCTAAAGTTTGACTTTCCCTTGTTTCTCATCTTAACCGAATGTTATGTTCCCAGGTGTCGTGTGGGCTTCAGTGGGCGTTACTGTGATGACTGCATTCGTTACCCAGGCTGCCTCCACGGCACCTGCCAACAGCCTTGGCAGTGCAACTGTCAGGAGGGGTGGGGGGGCCTCTTCTGCAATCAAGGTGAGATTTTTACTTACAGATTTTACTGCACGGTATACTCTTTTAGGTTGTGGTCTTTGTTTCATGTTGAAACCATTTTGCTCGTTAATGTTATTCTCCCAGATCTGAACTACTGCACACATCATAAGCCCTGTCTTAATGGAGCCACCTGCACCAACACTGGCCAGGGGAGTTACACTTGCTCCTGCCCACCTGGATACACAGGTGCTAATTGTGAAATCCAAGTCAACGAATGTTCTGGAAATCCATGTCGCAACGGAGGAAGCTGCATTGTGAGTATCACTTCAAACAAAGAGTGGTTTTAAGTAGAACCATGGGAACAAGCATGTATGTAACTGCTGTTTGTACTGTTATCAACACAGGATGGCAACAATGGCTACAAGTGCACCTGCCCACCTGGTTTCTATGGCAACAACTGTGAGTTAAGTGCCAATACATGTGCAGATGGGCCTTGTCTCAACAGTGGGCGTTGCCTGGATAACCCTGAAGGTGGCTACTTTTGTCAATGCACAATGGGATATGCTGGTTTCAATTGTGAGAAGAAAATTGACCACTGCACTTCAAATCCATGTTTGAATGGTACATCATCTTATGTGTTTGTTAGTATACTTACAATTAAATTTAAACCTAGAGTTAAAAGTACAGTAATACTAATTTTTGGCTTTATCTCAACACTGACTCTCCATGCAGGTGCAGAGTGTGTTGATCTGGTGAACTCCTACCTCTGTGAGTGCGCTGAAGGATTTTCCGGTCCTAACTGTGAGGTCACCAGTGGTTTTTATAGATACTGTCAGTCTTTCCCTTGTCACAATGGTGGGACATGTCAGGAGGAAGGGAATGGCTACACGTGTACTTGTCCCCCAGGTATGAAAGCTCTCAAAATATGGTTTACGCTTGCTTTAAATGGCTCTGTGTTAGATTTTGAGATGCTAAAACTCCACTTTCTTCCAGGTTATACTGGCAAAAACTGCAGTACCCCCATCTCTCGCTGCCACCACAACCCCTGCCACAATGGTGCCACATGTCACGAACGTGGCAGCCGCTACATATGCGCCTGTGTGCCTGGCTATGGAGGTCATAACTGCCAGTTTCTCTTACCAGAGATCCCCCGGGGTTCTCAACCAGTTGTGGATGGACCAGATCGACGATTTATGTCATTAGAAAATGAAAATGCTGAAGACAACCAGGATGATGACAACGGATTTCCTTGGACAGCTGTTTGCGCTGGCGTTTTCCTCGCACTTGTGATTTTGATCAGCTGCTCTGTGCTGGTTGTCTATGTTCGAGTGAAACTGCAAGACCGACACAGTCACCACAGCGAAAGTGTTCACAGCGACAGCCAAGAAACTATGAATAACCTCACAACCAACAACTGTCTCAGAAATGACAAAGATCTTGGTAGTATGATGACAACGTCAATTAAAAACACCAACAAAAAGGCAGATTACCATTCAGAACTTACTGGGTCACTTGGTGGTCTGAGTGGAATTGCCAGCCTCAACGGATCAGAAAAGAATGGCTTTAAGTCTCGTTATTCCAGTGTTGAGTACAACCTAGTTCATGAGCTCCGGCCTGAGGAGTTATCCCCATGTACAGAAGAGGAGCATCATGAGTTGGAGGCCAAATGTGAAGTACTGGATGAGTCCAGCACAGAAGAAGGGTTCAGGAAGAGACAAAACAGGTACACAGATCTGAAAAAAAAAAAAAAAAGGCACAATATATTAATACATATTGCACAATGCATAGTTAAAAGTAAACAAAATAAATACTTATAGATCACCCAAAATAAATCTTAAGCATGTGTTATGTGAAGGGTAGGATTCCTGATTTTTTATTTTTGTCCTACAGTGATGCATCAGAACAAACGCCATCAGCAGAGTCACTAAGCTGCAGCGAAGCAAAATATCAGTCGTCCACTGAGATAAACACTCCAGCAGCTTGTGATTCTCAGTACCAGCCAAATTGTGAAGTTAAATTTCAGTCAAGCACTGATGGTGAATACCACAGTCCGAATGACACCCGGTACCCATGTACCACTGACACCAAATACCAGTCCGTCTACGTCATTTCAGACCAGAAAGATGAATGCATCATCGCCACAGAGGTGAGTACGCACAGATTTACCTGCTCAATGAGTTCCCTAAAACAATAACTTCAATAAGCATTTGAAAAAGAATATTTTAAACATAACTTTTTTTGATTTTGTTTGTTTGCTTGGTCTTACAGGTATGATGGCAGTTTCATGTGGCTGATGGCGGTCCACACACACCAACCCTGAGCAGTAGAGCTCAGTTTGTTTCTGGGAGGTTTTACTCCTGCTGTTTGCTGCTCTTCCCTGGGAGTTCCCAGAGGACCTTGAGCCAAATTGCTGATGAGCCACTGCAGAGTCAGTGCCTGCTCAGTGATGACTGAGGACTACATTAACACTACCGGTCAATTCTGAATACTTTTGACCTTTGATGTAGGTCTATTGATCACGTGGTGCTATGGATGGAGCACGGTAACAAAGTGCAAGCTCTTGCACAGTCATTGTACAGAGCCAGCACTGACTGAGAACTCATACAGTCAAAGACTGCTGGAGAACTGATGAAGAGCTCATTTAATGTCTCCTTGAAGCGCTGGAAGATTTACAGCTCATAACAGGATGAACTGTTCTCTCCTGATAAGCAGCGGAGCTACGACTTGGATGTTGACCGATGATATTGTGGACGGTGGCGTGCCAACTGAATGAACAGTGTAGTACCTTTAGAGTACTGAAAACCCTTAAAGTACTGCTGTAGTACTATGTGCTGTGGGTTTACAATGCTGTGTAAAATCTGTCATGGATTTCAAACATATTATGTTCTGCGCAGTGCTGCGGAGTAGTGTAGAGCTGTAGCGACACAACAAATTCCCACGCCAAATTACTCAACAAATGTTCCTTACAAGACTACTAACAATTATAATACAGCAGCTGAACACCTTTAACTCTACAGCACTGACAGAGTTGGCTGAGCTGGTTCTCAGCAGGAAACAAAGAACTGAAAACTCCAGTAGTGACTGCAGATTGATCCAACATGGATTCTGTTGGGCCATAGTGGCCTCTGAACCCCAAGAGTTGTGATAGACAGGGCAATGTTTTGGGCAGAGCATCCTAAGAAACACTTTCAGCATTAGAACGCCAATTTAAAACAAGTCACACAAAACAGAAATGGAGGTTTTATTTTTAAATCATCTGTTAATTTGAATGTTTTGCTGAAATCAAACTGGAATCATTTCAGTCAGTTAATGTGGTTTTGCTTCAAAACCGAGTTTGTAATTTTTTCTGACTTCCTAATGATGCTGGTGTTTAACCAACAAGGACGAGCTCTAAAGTCTTAACTGCCAAGACCTCATTGCACTATAGAGGTGTGTGTGTTTGTGTGAATGTGTGTGTACAATGCTTATGTTTGGTGTTGATGTATGCACTGCCCACTCCTGCAGTCTTCCACGATTAGCCAGTTCAACACCACCCTGCTATCCCTTGTTTAAGATCTTTTGTTATTTTATTTGTTATCTAAAGAAAGAGTTATTCTTTTAATTTAATTATGTAATTATTTGTGCTCTGTTTTATTGTACTGTTTTTGTTAAGTCTGTAATAATTTAAGTTTGATTGTTTTAATTTGGCAGATGATGTATGTATGCGAGCATGTATGTGTTAGGCACTTGAGACCACTGTGACTGTGTTGTATTTAAGAGAAAAGTTGTATGTACAAAGCCTGTCATTTTTATTACTGGGAAAATAATATTTTTCCAAAATAAAAGCTGAAAATCTACCACTTTTGCTGTTTATTTTATTTACACATTTTTAACACGGGGCAGAATAGACGGGTTTTGATGGGGAAAAAAAAAAAAGAAAACGCTGCATTTATTTATATTCACAACTCTAAAATGCTGTCAAACAAATTTAAACAGAGATTTGTTGACAGAAAATGATTATATGAGTGGTGTTTGCATATATGTATGTGTGTGTGTGTATCTGTCTGACACAGCAGAAGACTGTCTCCTTGTGGAACCACTAAATGAGACAAAGACACACCCCGTAATCATAGACCGCTTAGCAAGCCTCCTCTGAGGCCAGAGTCATTTCTGCATGTGTTTGAGTGTGTGAGTTTGTGTGTGTCTGTCTGTGCCCCAATGTGTTTGAGAATGAATCTTTTTTCAGTGAGCCTCTTTATTTCAGTGTGAGTTCATGTGTGTGATCTTGTTTAAGCAGAGGGGTATTTATAGATGGAGAAAGAAACCACCAGTCTGGATTTAGTCCCGGTTGCCCCTGCTTGACTATGCTTTGCATGGATGTGTGTGTGTGTGTGTGTGTGTGTGTGTGTGGTGGTGGTGGGTTATTTAGCGACTACTGAGAGCATGGAAGCAGTCATCAAAGAACCTCATCTGGCTTACATTCTTATAGAAACGCACTCAAAGCTAGACAGTGAAATTGGATGACAGATGATCAGAACTTTACACCGATTAGAAAGGATAAACTGTATTAGCAGTTTAAATTCCAGTACACTGTTACACACACGTGCACGCACACACATACACATCTGCATGATGGTTGTTTGGCAGTAACTGTTTCTGGTCTGAGGTATCCAGCAGGCATATAGGCTGATACATGTTGACTCACGCAGAGCTCTGTCAACGTTGTAACCTTTCCATTTTCCTTTGACATTGATGTTAAAAATCTCACAGCAACTTTATTTAAAAGGTGTCATTAAGCCAGTGATCAGTGGGCGGTCTGGTCTTATTTGAAGTGTTCTATAATTAGTACAATATCAGCTGTGACGTCAGTCATGGAGCACAGCGTGTGAAGAAAAGACCAGATGTTTTTGTCCAAACAACTTGAATGGTAAATGGTCAATGGTCTGTTCATACAGTATATAGCACCTTTATATCTTCTCAAGATACTCAAAGCTCTTTACGCTACAATCTGTGTCCTCATTTACCCATTCATACAGCACTCTACTATATCTATACAAAGAATAATCAGTGTTTTATTACATTCATACACCAATGGGACCTGTGGTGTAGTCTACATTTTCGTAATGGGTATACTGCGGTAAAGTTAGTTTTACGTTGGACACAGTTGAAGCCACGGAGCGCTAATGTCCAATGTCCAGCGTAAAACTAACTTTACCGCGGTTGATCCGTACACTGGGCTTAGAAACCAAAGTACATTGGTTAGTACAATGTAATCGTCAATGTATTTAGATTTTTAAGCATATTGAACATTTCCAAATTTCTCTGATGCTTATTTGAATAAAGGAACAGCAAACTTTGTACAACAATTGGCTTTGAATTAAAAAAGTTATAGAATTTATAAAACAGTATCAAAGCAAAACATGTTAAAGTATTAATTACAGATGTATTAATTATACAATAATTCGCTGGATAAGCAAATGTAATAAACAAGTGCTGTATACAGATAGACTGTTATGGAAGCATTTCACTGCCGTTTAACATATCAATGACACATGTCATGTATCACTGGGCACTTTTAAGTGGGGATACTGAAATTCTTAAGCTTTTCTAGAGGGTATACTCCGTATACCCGCGTATCACATAGACTACACCACTGTATGGGACACACTTCGGAGGCAGTGAGGGGTTCAGTGTCTTGCCCAGGGACACTCCGGCATGTGACTGCTGGTGGAATCGAACCCCCAACTTTTGCATTGGAGGTTGACTGCTCTAACCACTCAGCCACAGCCGCCCCACAAACAAGAGCTCATATTTTTATTGCTTGTCAGGCTTATAAAACAACTCTTTCTCAAAATTATCATACAGGTGTGAAAGAACAAAACGTATTCCACCTCTACGTTTTTGCATGAGGTATAAGTTGCTGCTATTATTTTGGCTGAACAATGTCTGTTACTGCACAAATGTAAAAGTGTATTGTTTACCTCCACAATGTACTATTTATCCAAGTCTATTTTCTCATTTCCGAGGCTGTACTACCAGCATCAGCAAAACATGCTTGAAACATCTTTACTAATAACAGCTGCAGTACAGGACTTTGTTCCACAGTTTTTCCATCTTGCTCAGGCTATTTGCTGAGTTTTGTAGAGAGAACACAGTAAAGGTTTGTCTTATGACACTTCCCTGAATCTCATATTCATACAGGTGTCACTGCATGGTAAAACATTGCACCACCACTCCAAAGTCTGCTACGATAAATCCTCCTGCAGGTCTTTGCCAAAACAAATGGGGCTTATAGGATTTATGTTTTTTTCCCCTTCTCAACCTAATGTCATGACAGTGTGAACAAACCACTTGGGGACTTGGCACGTGTCCTTGACACTACTTTGCCAAAGTTTTAAATCAGCTCCCCTTTTTATATTTTGCTTCCAGTAAGCTTATATTTCTGTAACCCTTTAAACTCGTTCTCTGTGCAGTCCTTGTAAATGATCATGACAGCATATTGTGCAGCGTGTGCTTCAAAATAATAAAAGATGATTGAAGAACAAACGATGCGTCAGGCCTAAAAACATATATGCCGCCACCAAACAGTATCTGAAAGTTGTGTATTTAAAAAAATCTTAGAAATGCTTCATCAAAGACCTAAAACAGGACCTGAGCAATCTATGATCCTCAGGCTGATCATCTAGTGCAGGGGTCTGCAATCTTTTTGATTGAAGGAGCCATTGCTGCCACTTTGGCAGGGGCGGCTGTGTCTGAGTGGTTAGAGCAGTCGTCCTCCAATGCGAGAGTTGGGGGTTCGAATCCACCAGCATTCACATGCCGAAGTGTCCCTGGGCGAGACACTGAACCCCTCATAGCAAGGTGGGGGCAAGTGTGGGTGTTTCACCTACCCCACCCACAATTTTGATGTTGTCGGGGCCGGGGCGTGAACCGGCGATCTTCGGATCACAGGCCCACCTCTCTAACCTCTGCGCCACCACTCCCCCAGAATGATTTGTTCAATTAGCTTTGTAGAGATCTAGTGCTGTGTGGATGGGTAAATGAGGCACAGATTGTAGTGTAAAGCGCTTTGAGTATCTTGAAATAAAATAGAATCAGAATCAGAATCAGAATAAACTTTATTGGCATTGCACCGAGATACAACGCGAATATGTATGTACAGTCATCCGAAGATGGGCAGAGTGCACGAAGCTGCGGCTAAAATAATTAGCGCGGCCTTCTTATTCTTATTCAGAATAATATTTTGCTTAGATAAGAAAAGGAAAGAAAATTTGAGGAGAGACGGTATAAAAAAAAGATCTCTCACACCGTGTCCTAGACGGGGCACAATTTGAGGCATCAAAAAAACGCTATATAAATAACGCTATATAAATAACGCTATATAAGTAACGCTATAT